TTGCAGCTGTCACTGTTGTTTGGCGGGCTGGGCTGGATTCTAACCCACCCCCTTAGGTCTATGTGGCTGGCGCCTTAGCCACTTGAGCCACAGGCACCAAGCAGTGGAGTTTTCTTCTGAAGTGATAAACATATTTTTTGACTAGAAGTGGTTTCATGACATGGTGAATGTACTAAATGCCACAGAATTGTTCACTTTAAAATGATTAATTTTCTTTTGGGTACAGTGAACACGATTTTGATGATGTGTATACTAAAAGCCCCAACTTAAGCATTATACAGAATATCCATGTAACAAAAATATTTGTATCCCCTTGATTTTTTTGAAAAAAAAAAAAAAAAGAATTGTAAGTCTAAACATATCATGCATCGTAAATGCATTATTATTCACAAATAAAATTATTTGTTAATTTAAAAAAAATTTTTTTTGAGACAGAGTCTCACTATGTTGCCTTCCGTAGAGTACCATAGCATCACAGCTCACAGCAACCTCTATCTCTTGGGCTTAATTGATTCTCTTACCTCAGCCTCCTGAGTGTCTAGGACTACAGCACCCACCACAATGCCTAGCTATTTTTCTTTTGTTGCAGTTGTTGTTTAGTTGGCCTAAACAAAATCCAAATCCACGAGACTCAGTGTATGTGGCCGACGCCGCAACCACTGTGCTATGGGTGCCAAGCTAAATTAAAATTATTTTAAACATCTAAAAAAAATAAGATTAATTTTATACTGTGTATTTTACCTCAATTTAAAAATCCTATTTGTGTGTTTTTTTTTTCTTTCTGGTCAGTGTTTTTTGTGTCTTGCCTAAAAAATATTTGCCTATACCAAGTTTGTGAAGATACTCTGTATTTTCTTCTGCTTTATAATTCTGGGTTTTACATTTAGTTTAAATGACCCTTTTCAAAGTAATTTTTTTTATTTGGAGTGAGTGAGAAAGGAGGTCAAAGTCTTCATTTATTTATTTATTTTTATATATTTTTTTCCTTTTTCCCTTTTTTTTAAATGTAGACATCCAGCTGTTTCAGCAGAAATTTGTTACAAACCCTTTCCTCTGAATTGACTTTTTTGGTAGAAAACCAATTAAACATGTGCTTGTCTATTTCTAGGTTTTATTTTTTTTTAATCTATTTAGCTTGTTTCTACACCAGTACCACACTATCCTGATTAATGTAGTGCACATCTCCAACTGTTTTTTTTTTTCTCAAGATTGTTACGATTATTCTAGGTCCTTTGCATTTCCATACAAATTTTATATTTTTTCATATAAATTTTAGAACCAGTTTGTCTATTTCTTTAAAAGACTTGTTGGATATTTAATTGGAATTTCCTAACATTAGAATCTCTTACATTAGTTAATTACCTACTTAGTTACTAGTAGAATGGTCTAAAATGCTTTTCAGAGAAAAATGTTTTCCTTTATTTTCTTCTTTTCTCTCCATTGTTTTCCTAGGTTACAAGGCAAATGCAAGAACATGAGCAGGACTCTGAGCTTAGAGAACAAATGTCTGGCTATAAGCGAATGAGGCGCCAACATCAGAAGCAACTGATGACTCTGGAAAATAAGCTAAAGGCTGAGATGGATGAACACCGCCTCAGATTGGACAAAGATCTTGAAACTCAACGTAACAATTTTGCTGCAGAAATGGAGAAACTTATCAAGAAACATCAGGCTGCTATGGAAAAAGAGGTGACTGGTTCATTCTTATTAATTTGCTTATTTTAGCTTGTGGCCATCTCTCAGTTAACTAAAATGGCATTTTGGTGTTAAGAGTATTTATACCCAGGAACAAAGTAAATTGATTAGGTAAAAAGGAGAAACTTTTACATAATTTATATAATGCTTTCTGTAAATTAATGACAGATCAGTCACAAAAAAAGTTGGCTCCTGTGGATATTTTTCTCTAACTAGTTTTGTGCTTATGTGTATATCATTTAAAACAAACCAGTTTTGGCTGGGTGCAGTGACTCATGCCTGTAATCCTAGCACTCTGGGAGGCCAAGGTAGGTAGATTGCTTGAGCTCAGGAGTTTGAGACCAGCCTGAGCAAGAAACCCCTGTCTCTACTAAAAATGGAAAAACTAGCTATGTGCCTGTAGTCCAAACTACTCAAGAGGCTGAGGCAAGAGATGATCACTTAACCCCAAGAGTTTGAGTTTGCTATGAGCTGTAACACCACAGCACTTTACCCAGGGCAACTGAGTAAGACTTTATCTGAGAATAATAATATAATAAACCTGTCTTAAAACTAATTATTCACTGGAGTAGTTTGCTATATAGTTTTCTTGATAGCCAACAAAGTTTTGAGTATGAAATTATGTATTTTAATAAAAATTTAGTACTAGGTCTTGAAACTAATAGAAAGCTGGGGTCTTTTTCTGATACTTGATAGTTTTGTAGTGTCACAGTAGGTAAATTATTCAATTATACTAGGCTTTTGAATCCTGGTTATCTGAAAAGTTTGCTAAATCTTCTGTTAATGGATGACTTAGGTTTCACAAAGGTCATTCATGGTTCTCTTCTCTGTATATTTTTTGGGAACCTTTATTTCAGAAAATTATTAAAGATTATTATGTAGAGAGAATGTTGGACATTAAACATTATGAAAGATTCAGATAAAGATTTAGCCCATTTGATTATGGCTGAATGATAATTGAGTGTCATTATTCCATTACATGGTAAAGGTATATTTTTTAGGATTCTTGCTGCATAAAACCTTTTCTTCTAATGTTTTGGCTTCCTGTCAGTTTTAGTTTAATTTGATAGTCTTGTTTGTCAAGTAAAAAGTAGACTTGTTAATAAATTCACATGATATCATCAAAATTTGTCCACCTAGTGTGCATTAAAGCATTATGTAACATAGCTACCCTGTTCTCCTTCTTCCCACAAAAACACTTTCATGGTAGTAGGGAATGGCAGAGTAATTTATAGTATAAATAAATATTTAATTTTGAATTCACATACAGATATTTAAACTCTTGCTAGGCATTGAGTGGTATTTTAATAGCTTAGGAAGAGGTAAATACCAACATACTTAGGAAAGCAATTCATAAAACAGGATATATGCAATATTATTATAAATTTATTTTAAAAATATAAATAGGGTATAATCCTAGCACTTTGGCAGACCAAGGTAGGAGGATCACTTGAGGCTAGGTGTTTAAGATCAGTTTGAGCATCATAGCAGAACCCTTTCTTTACAAAAAATACGAAAACTAGCCAGGCATGGTGGCATGATCCTGTAATCCCAGGTCTAGGGAGCCTGGAACAGGATGATCACCTGAGCCAAGGAGCTGTGATAATGCCACTGCAGTCAAACCTAGGCAACAGAGTGATGCCCTGTCTCAAATTAATTAATTAATTTAATTTAATTCAAATAATTTAAAAAATATATATCCAGGCTGGGAATGGTGACTCACACCTGTAATCCCAGCGCTCTGGGAGGCCGAGGTGGGTGGATTACCTGAGCTCAGGAGTTCAAGACCATCCTGAGCAAGAGTGAGACCCCACCTCTAATAAATAGATGGGCATTGTAGCAAATGCCTGTGGTGCCAGCTACTTGGGAGACTGAGGCAAGAGAATCACTTAAGCCTAAGAGTTTGAGGTTGCTGTGACCTATGATGCCACGGCACTCTACCCAGGGCAACAAATTGAGAATTTTGTCTCAAAAAATAAAATAAATAAATAAATAAAATACATATCTGTAGAAAAAATTAGAAATGCTATGTACCAAAATGTTTGTTAGTTATTTTCTTCTTTTGGTCTTTCTGTATTTCCTGTATGTTCTACAGTGATTGCACATACAATCAGAGATGAGAACAGACTTTGTTTTGCTTTATTAAGGGGTTGAGGGGAGGATATGCTCCTATTAAATGAAAGAAAAAAGGGAAACCATTTTTGACCTTGTTAAGAGAGCAACATTCCAAAAATGAGTTCCCCCTTATTGGTTCTATGAAGTTCAAATGTTGAGGATACTGAATAACACTTATTAATAATCTGTTTAGGTATTTGATTTTGATAATGTTTCTACTGATTTTTTGTTCTTCAAAAAATAAGTATCCTTAGTGATATGTAGTAAGCTACTGCTTTGAATCTATCTACTTAACTAATTTCATTCATTGTTAAAATTTCAAATAGGCTAAAGTGATGGCCAATGAAGAGAAAAAATTTCAGCAACATATTCAGGCCCAACAGAAGAAAGAACTGAATAGCTTTTTGGAGTCACAGAAAAGAGAATATAAACTTCGAAAAGAGCAGCTTAAAGAGGTACTTATTTCATAAAAATTTTTAAGCCAGTGATCTGCTTACTAATTATATCCAATAGTGGATATCCAATAGATATCTAGATCAACTCATAGAACCATTAGGATAAAAATTGTCTTTATTGGCATGGTGCCCATGGCTCAAGCAGCTAAGGGGCCCACCATATATACACCTGAGCTGGTGGATTCGAATCCAGCCCTGCCTGCCAAACAACAATGGCTGCAACCAAAAAATAGCTAGGCGTTGTGGTGGGTGCCTGTAGTCCCTCCCCACTTGGGAGGCAGAGGCAGGAGAATCACTTGAGCCCAGGAGTTGGAGGTTGCTGTGAGCTGTGGTGCCACAGCACTCTACCTAGAGCAACAACTTGAGGCTTTCGCCAAAAAAAAAAAAAAAAAAATTGTCTTTATTTCTGGACACTAACTTTGTATCATTTTAAATAGAAACATTTGATTATAATCATTTACCCTTAACTGAGTTTCTTAGTTAAGTAGGATCCAAAAAGAATCATTTTCTAACGATATAAATCATGTTACTTATAATAGCTTTCTTATATGTTTATTAAGTCACTCATTAGGGAAATCATTAAAATATTTGAGCTGTGTAAAGTCACACATTTCCCTTAAGCTCAGCAGTTTGAGACCAGGCTCAGCAAGAGTGAGACCCCATCTCCACTCAAAATAGAGGGAAGGCTTGGCAAGGTGGCTAACGCTTATAATCCTAGCACTCTGGGAGGCCAGGGCAGGTGCATTGCCTCAGCTCACGGGTTCAAGACCAACCTGAGCAAGAGCAAGATCCCGTCTCCAAAAATAGCCAGGTCTTATGATGGGCATCTGTATTCCCAGCTTCTTTGGAGGCTGAGGCAAGAGAATCACTTAATCCTAGGATTAAGCTGTGATGCCACAGTACTCTACTGAGGGCAACAAAGTGAGACTCTGTCTAAATAAAATAACTAATTAATTAACTAATTAAATATAAAAATGGGGGGTGATTGACCAGATCTCATCTAATGTGCACAATGTGAGGGGTGTTCAACACGTCCCCAGGTGAAGGGCTCAACTACAACCTCAACTTCACCTTAGAATTGAAAACAATGTAACCTAAACATTTGTACCCTCATATTAATGTGAAATTTTTTAAAAAAGTTTATAAAAACAAACAAACAAAAAATTAGCTGGGCATTGTGGTGGGCTCCTACAGTCCCAGATACTTAGGAGGCTAAAGCAGAAGAATCACTTGAGGTCAGGGGTTTGAGGATGCTGTGAGCTAGGCTGAGGCCACAGCACTCTAGCCTAGGCACCAGAGTGCGACTTGGTTTCAAACAAAAAAAAAAAAAGAAGAAGAAAAGAAAATATACTAATTAATATTAGCATCCAAGGGCTTCCTTGATTAAATGTCAATTTTTTCATCTTGGACCAGGCATGGTGGCTCACCATCTATAATCCTGGCATTCTTGGAGGCTGAGGCAGGTGGGTGACCTCTGGAGTTGGAGACCAGCCTGAGCAAGAGTGAGACCTCTGCCTCTACTAAAAATAGAAAAACTATCTGTGTGCCTGTAGTCCAAACTACTCAAGAGGCTAAGGCAAGAGGATCACGTAAGCCCAAGAGTTTGAGGTTGTGGTGAGCTATGATGATTCCACAGCACTGTACCCATAGCAACAGAGTGAGACTCTGTCTTAAAAAAAAAAAATTCATCTTGCTCATTACAAATAAATGCACTAGCACTCTGGGAGGCCAAGGCAGGTAGGCTTTGGTAGTTTGTGACATGGCATTTATTTTGCTTTATTTTTCATCTTAGAGTTTTAATCTGTCAGGTATCTTTTTTTCTTTTTCTTTTTCTTTCGTTTTTTTTTGGTTGCAGCCGTCATTGTTGTTTGGCGGGCCGGGCTGGATTCGAACTCGCCACCTTAGGTGTCTGTGGCTGGCACCTTAGCCACTTGAGCCACAGGCACTGAGCCCAGGTATTTTTAAAATGTAGAAAATAATTAGTTTTGATTTGTTTAGTGGTTATTAATGATGAAAATTAAATAACATTCATAAAGTATGTCTCTGCTGTCCCAAGATTTTATCAATTTTCTGTTTAATTTTGAGTCTAACCACAATTTTACAAAGACTTAGTATTGAGAATATCAAAGCCCAATAAGTGAGATACTGTTTAACTATATTTTAGCCCTCATTTTTAATTCACGTGTGATTTTTTTTTTTTCCTGAAAGCACTGCCTTCTGTCTCTTCTTCAGAAGGTTTTAAAGAAGGCTGTGTTTTACTTTATTAACCAGTCCTGTGTGCTTTGAACCTAGATACCATCAGAAATGTAGCCGTACTAAACTAGAAAGAATGCATATTTTCTGGTGTATATGTCTCTCTTTCTTGTCCTATTTACTGGGTAACTCAAGAAAGAGAAAACTCTCTCACCTAGCACTTTGGGAGACTGAGGTCAGTAAAGTGCCTGAGCTCAGGAGTTCAAGACCATTCTGAGCAAAATTGAGACTCCATCTATACTAAAAAATAGAAAAACTATCCAGGTGTTGTGGCTGGTGCCTATAGTCCCAGCTATTCAGGAGGCTGAGGCAAGGGGATCACTTGAGCCCAGGAGTTTGAGGTTCTGTAAGCTATGATGTCACAGCTGTCTAACCAGGGCACTGAATGAGACTCTGTCTCAAAAAAAGAAAGAGCAAAGTATCTACCTTTTCAAGGTCATTGCTCTGCCTGAGCATTAGGAAACACTAACTACTTTTATTTAAATTTACCAGCTACAAAAGGATACATTCTTGTGGTTAATTTTTATGTATTTTGGACTGAGTTGTTTTTTATGTTGCCAGGAATTGAACGAAAACCAGAGTACCCCCAAAAAAGAAAAACAAGAATGGCTTTCAAAGCAAAAGGAGAATATACAACATTTCCAAGCAGAAGAAGAAGCTAACCTTCTTAGACGTCAGAGACAATATCTAGAGCTAGAATGCCGTCGTTTTAAGAGAAGAATGTTACTTGGACGTCATAACTTGGAGCAGGACCTTGTCAGGGAGGTACGTTTAAATGACATGAAATTTAAAATCCTTTATCAAAAGAATCTTTCCTGACCAGGCACAGTGGCTTGTGCCTGCAATCCCAGCACTTACGGAGGCCAAGGCAGGAGGATCTCTTGATCTCAGGAGTTTGAGGTTGCGGTGCACTATCTATGATTAAAGTACTGCCTTTGAGCCTGAGTGACAGAATAAGACACTGTCTCTTAAAAACAACAATAACAAAAAAGTTTCTGATAATATGCCAGTCATATTACTACCTCAGAGACTTTTCACTTTTATTTCGCTTTGTCTGAATCATTCTTTACCAGATATTCATATGGCTTGTTTTCTCTCTTCTTTATATCTTTACTCAAATATCACTCCCAGAGTGGCGCTGGCCCTATATACCAAGGGTGGCAGGTTTGAGCCTGGACCTGGCCGAACTGCAACAAAAAAAATAGCCAGGCGTTGTAGCAGGCACCTGTAATCCCAGCTACTTGGGAGGCTGAGGCAAGAGAATGACTTAAGCCCAGGAGTTGGAGATCGCTGTGAACTGTGATGCCACAGCACTCTACTGAGGGGGATAAAGTGAGACTCTGTCTCTAAAAAAAAAAACCAAAAAACAAATATCACTCCCTTACGAATGCCTTCTCTGACCACCACCAAATCCTTCTCCTTTCTTTAAGTCTTCTTCTTTCTCTTACACAAACACGCACTTTGAGAGTAGGGGATATCCTGACTTCCTCACTAGTATGAAAGTTGTATGAAATCGGCTCGGCGCCTGTGGCTCAAGTGGCTAAGGCGCCAGCCACGTACACCTAAGGTGGCAGGTTCTAATCCCCAGCCTGGACCCGCCAAACAACAATGATGGCTGCAACCAAAAAATAGCCGGGCGTTGTGGCGGACGCCTTTGGTCCCAGCTACTTGGGAGGCAGAGGCAGGAGACTCGCTTGAGCCCAGGAGTTGGAGGTTGCTGTGAGCTGTGATGCCACGGCACTCTACCCAGGGGGACAGCTGGAGGCTCTGTCTCAAAAAAAAAAAAAGAAAGTTGTATGAAATCACAGACTTGGTACAGTTCTTTGTATCCCCCAGTTTCTGTCCCGTAGTAAACATTCAATAAATATTTATTAAATAATTCATGAATGAAAGAAAGAAATGCTAACTTTTAAATATGAGGAAATTTATTGGTCAATTTCTGCCTCTTTGATCTGAAATAGATGCCATGAGGTGTGTGTTGAATGTATTTTTACAGTCATGTAATCATTAATTAGGCAAATGTTGTAGAAACTCCTATGCCAATGAAATTAATTGTTCTCATTATTAGGATAACTGTCAGAATAGATAAATTTCCAAGTGTAGGTTGGAATAAGCTTCAAATATAGCATAATTTTACAAACAATAATACTTAAATTCTAATTAAAACAGTTGTGTCAATTAGATAAAAAAATTTAGTAACTTGATAACATGCAGTTGTAATGTGATGGATTAATGGACACTATTGGTAAGAGTATAAATTGATACTGCTCTTTTAAAACCTGATTGAACAGTAGCTTCTAAATTTAATATGTGCATATTCTTTTAACCATCAAATTCATTTTTAGAACTTTATCATACAGTACTAATAACATGATTAAATGATGTACTATATAGGTATTTATTAAAAGTTTATTTATAAAAGCAAAAAGTGGGAACAGCTTAAATGTCCAACTAGAGAGGAGTGATTAATAAAGTTATAGTATCACAAAGCAGTAGCTTATGATAAAACTTAAATCCTTATGTACAGATCTTATCTGGATATATATATATATATATAGTTAAGAAAGAAAGTTACATGACTACAAATGTATACTGTTCAATTTTTAAAACTGTATGTTTTTGTATAATATGTCACAGTAAACATAGGAAGGTTGAAAAGCATGTACGCATGTACACCAAACTGTTGGTCTCTGGGGAAAGAGATGAAGCTTGTTTACATTGTATGTTTTTAATCTGAACAAAAGGATTTAAAAAATAACATTTTTGAGCACCATGTGCTAAGTATCATTCTGCACACTTTCCATTTGTGAACTCACTTTATCCTTACATGAAATAGCTATATTATTATCTGCATTTGAGAGATGATTAAACTGAATCACAGTGCGTTTAAGTAACTAATCCAAGTAAACACTGTTCATAAGTAGCAGGGTCAGAATTTAGAGATAGGTAGTCTGGCTTTCTAGTATCCATATTCTTAACCACTACACTTACAGGGTAGGCTGCATATAATAGAATTGAATTGTATACTCTGAAGAAACTCAAAGTATGGCTTAGGAGCCCTCTTCAAATATAAAATTGGGGAACAAAAGGAAGATGTTAAGTCTCTTTAAACAGATTTGGTTATGTCTTAAGCTTATGGCAATGAAATCGTGTGAATAAATAGTAAATGAATATGACAAGGAAATTTGGGCTACTAATTGTCCATTTACAAATATAAAAGTAAGAGAATCCTAGTACTTACTATGTAGCCATTATTGAATTGGGATGTTGATTACATCTGTTATGTTGGTTATTCTGTTCCTTAAGATTTTTTTCTTGGCATCATACAGCAAAATACACCTTGTTTTTTGTGTTATGGATTAGGAGTTAAATAAAAGGCAGACTCAGAAGGACTTGGAGCATGCCATGCTCCTTCGACAGCATGAATCCATGCAAGAATTGGAGTTCCGCCACCTCAACACAATTCAGAAAATGCGCTGTGAGTTGATCAGGTTGCAGCATCAAACTGAGCTCACTAACCAGCTGGAATATAATAAACGAAGAGAACGAGAACTAAGAAGAAAGCATGTCATGGAAGTTCGGCAACAGCCTAAGAGTTTAAAGGTACCTTATGCCTAATTTTTTTTTTTTTTTTTTACTGGACAGTCGCCAGCCCGCCTCATCTACTGTCCAGGTGCGGACTGCTGTGCTGCTGTCTTAGCCAGGGAGAGTGGAGAGAGGGAGGAAGTGAGAGAGAGGAAGAGAGAGACAGAGAGTCTTTGTAGGAGAAACCCAAGACATCAAAGCCTGTAAGTGTCCGGAAGGCACAGCAGTCTCCTCAGGAGGGGAACACTTGGTGTCCTCCAAGCCTGAAGCAGAACCAAGGGGAGGAGCTGGCAGTGGAGTTGTAGCCTGTGCCTAACTTTTTTGACAAAAGAGAAAGGAGGTAAAAGACATCCATGTAAGCAAGAAAAGTCTAAGATACATGTCTAGTCATAAGAAATTAAGTAAACTTTTTTTCATTCCGTTTTCAGCATCTTTGGATGATTTTAATGTGAAGTGCCTGTTTCTGCAAACTTTTGCTTATGTATTTTTCACTGGAGTACAAAAATATGACCAACACATTTAACTGTGGGAAGTACCAATAAATAATCAAGATTCTTATTTTAGCCAAGTGTAGTGGCTCTTGCCTCAAGCTTAGGAGTTCAAGACCCGCCTGAGCAGCAGTGAGGCCTCACCTTTACTAAAAACAGGAAAAAACTAGCCAGGCATGGTGACACATGCCTGCTGTTTCAGCTACCTGGGAGGCTGAGGCAAGGGGAATCTTTTGATCCCAGGAGTTTGAGGTTGCAGTGAACTATGACACTGTTGTATTCTAGCTGAGGCAACAGAGTGATACTCTTGTCTCAAATAATAAATAAATAAATATTGTTATTTTAGATGTACCCAGATGCTAACCATTTGGCTTCTCTCTGTTGTTCCAAGTAATACAGTTTTGGAATTCTAAATGTAATTTTCTTTTCTTTTTTTTTTTTTTTT